GCGGATAAAATCAGGAGGACACCTCAGCTGGGAAGGTCCTCCCTGAGGACTGAGGGGTCCCCGTCCCACACCAGGTGCCCCGCTCAGGGTTCCAGTGCCAGGAAGAGAATCCCCATCACTTCTGGCTGGAAAAACCAGTGGGAACTGAGGCTCAGGGAGGCTGAAGCGGCTGGAGCCCCAGGCAGCTCCTCTTAAAGGGCCCGCACACGGACTTATCAGACTCTCTCCCTCTAAGCTTGGAGGGGAGGCAGCTCCAGGGCGCCAGAGACATACAGGGAAGAACTGAGCTGTTTGGCCTTGGAGCGAGGGCTGGAGAGGGGGCTTTCTCCGGGACAGACGTACTGTCAGAAGCCTTTGTTACTTTGGTGAGCCCTTCCCTGGGTCAGCAGACAGTCGCCATATCTGGAACTCCAGCAACCTGGCTCACACTGGTAGCCCCGCCCTGGTGACTCCCTGAGGCCCCGCCCCACCCAACTTTCAGGCCCACCCAAGCTGTTGCCAGTTGCTTAACCATAGGATTGGCCTGTCTTGGATCCTGCTTCAGATTTTCCTAAATTCTTTCAAACAAGCAGCATCTGGTCTCAGATAGCCCTATACCTCTCAAGTAATACACAGAAACAAACAAACACAGGGAGGCATCCAAAATGAGGAGACAAAGAAACAGGTCCCAAAGGGAAGAACAGAACAAAACCCCAGGGAAAGAACTAAGCGAAATGGAGATAAGCAACCTAACAGGTGCTGAGTTCAAAATACTGCTTATAAGGATGCTCAATGAACTTAGTGAGAACCTCAGCGAACTTAGTGAGGGTCTCAAGAGCATAAAAAAGGACCAGTCAGAAATGAAGGATGCACAGTCAGAAATGAAGGAGGCACTAACTGAAATAAAGAATAATTTACACAGATTCAATAGTAGAGTAGGTAAAGCCAAGAAGCAAACCATCGACTTGGAATATAAGGAAGCTAAAAACACCCAATCAGAAAAGCAAAAAGAAAAAAGTATTCCAAAAAATGAGGATAGTGTAAGGAGCTTCTGGGACAACTTCAAGCATGCCAATATTCGCATCTTGGGGATGCCAGAAGGAGAAGAGAGAGAACAAGAAATCGAAAACCTATTTGAAACAACAATGGCAGAAAACTTCCCTAACTTGGTGAAGGAAACAGACATACAAGTCCAGGAAGCATAGAAAGCCCTAAACAAGATGAACCCCAAGAGGCCCACACCAAGACATATCATCATCAAAATGCAAAAGGTTTAAGACGAAGAGAGACTCTTAAATGCATCAAGAGAAAAGCAGTTAGTTACCTACAAGGGAGTTCCCATAAGACTGTCAGCTGATTTCTCAAAAGAAACTTTGCAGGCCAGAAGGGAATGGCAAGAAATATTCAGAGTGATGAAAAGCAAGAACCTACAACCAAGATTACTCTATCCTGCAAAGCTGTCATTTAGAATCGATGGCCATATAAAGAGTTCCCCAGACAAGAAAAAGTTAAAGGAGTTCATCACCACCAAATCGTTATTATATGAAATGTTGAAGGGTCTTTTTGAAGAAAAAGATAAAATATATGAACAAACAAAATGGCAATGAATACATATCTATCGACAATCAAATCCACAAACAAAATGAACAGGCTGAACAAAAACATTCTCATAGATACAGAGAACATTTTGTTGGTTGCCAGATGGGAGGGGGGTTGGGGGAATGGGTGAAAAAGGTGAAGGGATTAAGAAGTACAAATTGGTTGCTAGACTGACAAACCTCAAAGGGAAGGGGGTTAGGGGGTGGGAAGAAATAAACCAAAGAACTTACATGCATAACCAATGGACACAGACAACAGTGTGGAAAAAGGCAGGAGGGGGGTGGGAGTGGGGAGGAGGGGGTCAATGGAGGAAAAATGAACATCTGTACTATATTCAACAATAAAGATTAAAAAAAAAAAAGTCTGCCTGCAAGCTGCTTATAGTCTAGTCAGACACACAGAGGGTGGGTGGGTAGAGATTAGCTCACTAGACTAGGTGTCCCTCACCAAGTGCTCACTGCACTTCTGTCAATTATTATGACGTCTTCTTTGCTTTGTAGTCAGATGCATCTGGGTTGCACTTCTAGCCCCAACCGTGGGACATTGGGCAAATCACCCCTCCCTGTGGAGCCTCATTGTCCTCATTCGTATTATGGGAATACAGGCACCACGATCCCTGCCTCATAGGGCCGGGTATTGATTCAATGAGAGATGCATGCTAAGCTGTCAGCACAGGGCTGGCACATGGAAGTCTTCAGCTGCCAATAAAGCTGCTCAACTCCAAGAGGGTGGGGAAGCAACTGTCTTGATCACTGAGACCCCCAGCAATAAGTAGACACTTAGAGGATACTCGTGGAATGATTGGAGACCGGTGGGCTTGTGCATCAGGATACATGGCCAGGGGAAGGCCATGTGGTAGGAAGTGATTGGACAGGACTTCGTGCCCTGGCCAGTTTGGCTCAGTGGTTAGAGTCGGCCCAAGGATCAGAGTCTCAGGTCTCTCTCACATGGATGTTTCTCTCTCTCTTCCTCTCTCTTTCCCTCCTGCTCTATCTGAAGATAAATGGAAAAATATCCTCGGTGAGGATTTTAAAAAGAATAAAAAGGCCTTCGTGTGCCAACCTGAGTTTATCCTGGTGCAGAGACTTTGGAAGTTCTTAGGAAGGGAAGGAGCTGGGTGCTGTCATTTGTGGGACAGGCTCAGCTTGGGCTGACCTCACAGTGAGCTCCTTTCCACGGACATGACCCTCATCTGCCCTGCATTAGGGAACTAACATCAGCACTTAAATCTCCAGACTTATCAGGAACTGACACTTGTACTGATTTGAATTAAACCTCCCCAGGGTAGAGTGGTTTGACCCCTGGCACACAGTAGGCACTTACCCTATAGATATGCAGTGGTATTTGGGATTAGTACCCTCTGAGTTGTGTAAACCCTCCCACTCTGGGTGTGTGCAAAAGAAATACCTCTGGTTTATTGTTTACATGGTGACTTCAGAGGCTCCCAAGGGCCTTCCTGGCATATGAGAGCTTCCGTTTCCTAAGTGCTTACTGTGTGCTAAAGCACCACACATGCACACGATCCTGTTGTGAGACAGGCATATACTCTCCCTATTTTACAGATGAGAAAACAGAGGCCCAAAGGGGTGCCGTGCCTACTGCAGAGGTGCAGAGCTGGTCAGTGGCGGGCCAGGCCTCCCTGTCTTTAGAGCCTGTGCCCCCAAACACTGCTCTGGGGTCAGCTATATATGGCTGGGAGGGGACTCAAGACCTGTGTATCCCGGGACAAGCTCCACCACACCCCAGCTGTGCGACCCCAGGTCATTTCCCGAACCTGAGACCCAGGGCCTTCAGCATGAAGTGAGGTTGTTGTGGGGACTGAATAGGATCCTGCACTGGGGGTCTCAGCGTGGGGCTTCGAATCCACTCCTTCAACAATGAAGCTGCGAGTCCCTGCTGTGTGCCCAGCCTGCCCCCAGCAGCTGTGGGAAAGAACGGGGTCCTTGTCCTCCTGGAGCAGACACAGGACTTATAAACAAGATAATTTCGGGAGCTCAGTTGGTTAGAGCATTCTCCCCATATGCCATGGTTGCAGATTCAATTTCTGGTCAGGGCACATATAAGAATCAACCAGTGAGTGCATACATTAGTGGAACAAATCAGTCTCCTTCTGAAAAAAAAAACAAAAAAACGTAAACAAGATCATTTCAGAGTGGTAAGCACTCTAAAGTTGATGGAGTAAAGGGGAGGGGCTGCTTCAGATGGTGTGGTCAGGGAAGGTCCCTCTTGAGGTGACATTTGAGCACAGATGTGAATGGCAAGGACCTAACTATAATGACCTGGGGAAAAAGGCCAATGTGGTTTACTGAGATGAGTGTGAGTTTCTAGGCAGTAGCTGCCAGGGCCTCATGGGCTGTGCTAAGAACTCAGTAAGAGGTAGCTACTTCCAGGATAAGTTTTCTCCAGCTGATGATAAAAATGTCACCCTATGATTTGGAAACAGGACTCTACCCTCCATACTGCCCCTAGCCAATCCCAATGCCCAGTGCCCATCTCTTGAGTGCTGTAAGGCCCAGGGTCATGCAGGCACCAAGTGGCTGGGGCAGTAAGCTACCAGACTGGGCAGAGGCCATTTGACCTTGGCACCATTGACTTTTACTGCCCTGGGACGATGGGAAGCCATGGAAACTGATGGCAGGTCTGGAAAGGTGGCCTATACTGCAGACTGATGAGGTATGAGCTCACCCAATCCCTTCCTCTTTCTGCAAATGCAGAGCGCAGGAAAAGACCTCCCTCTCGAAAAGGCCACGGTTCCACGGTCAGCCTCCAGCCTCCCACGCTCTCCCTCTGCCCTGGGAGCCCTGACTGGGATGTGGTGGGCACAAGGCTGATGCCAAGCGTGGCAGTGCTGAGCAGGTCTTCGAAACCCCTGGTTCCAGCCCCGGCTCCGTTCCTATTGTCTCCTTAGTAAAATACAATAGTACTACCTCCCTGTGATGGTTGGTTTCAATGTGATGATATACACAAGGGCTTGGCGCTGCCTGACACAGAGCACAGCTGTATATACGCTGTAGTTGTTATGACCCATAGGGAAATGGAGGCACAGGAAAACCAGGCAGGAGGCCTTGCAACCTGTGTTCTAGTCACTCCAGGCAATTCCTTGCCCATCTCTGGGCCTTTGTTACCCTAGCCACACAATGAGGAGCTAGCCGCCCAAACACTACGGCTCTGCCATTCTGGCCGTGTGTCTGGTTCTAAGTCTAAAGACAGAACCACCTTTCAACAACCCTTTCACCCGTCTCCCCTCCTGGGCGCTAACCTGTGGGAAATGCCTGGATGCTGCTCCAAATGACCCCGTAGTCGCGCCCCGCCTGCTCCGCCTGCACACAGCACCGCGACTGCTCCCGCCTCAGGTCCTTTCTTGGAGGCCTTTCTACTAAGCTTCAGCTCATGAAACCTCCACAACCACCAGAGGAGGTGGGTGCTGTTTTCACTCCCCTTTTATTGATGAAATGGGCCTCAGGTAGAAAACCGTACAGGAGTTGGGAGCTTGAATCCATTTGTCCCACTTCAGGCCAGAGATGGGGGGAGCAACTGAAGTGCAGGCTGGAGGGGCTGTTTCTTCTTGGGGCTCGAAGGCCGAGGCCGCCAGAGGTAGCCAGCACCGGGCAAAGGCAGGGGTAGCAGGCACTTGACCTGATGGGAAGCTTTGTTCAGACAGTGGAGACTCCCTTCCCTCTCTGCCTCCCTCTCCTCTGGCCTTTGGAATTGGGTCTTGTCCTCAGTCCTGGGAAGACACACAGCCTGGCACCCAGAACACCCTGGCTGCAGGGAGGGGTCTAGAACAGGGGTGTGGACCAGACACATTCTTGCACAACCCTAGATGAGCTCCTGTCCACATGCAGTCCTCTTTGGGCAGCTCCGGGCCCCCTAGGAGCCCACTGCACTGCCTGCTCCCTCCTGGGCTGGCCCTCAAAGCCACTCAGCAGTGTTATGACAAATTCTGATAAATGGTGTCCAAGGGTCAGTGTTCAAAGAAAAGGAACAAAGGTAGTGGTAAGGAGTCCTCCGCCTCCAGGCGAAGTGGGTGGGGTGAGTGAGGGTGGGGAGCCAGGCCAGGCCCTCCTGGCTCAGCTGCTCCGGGCCTAGGCCAGGTGCTTGATGTGCATGGGGGGCTCGGTGATGCCCAACTCCTCCCGCAGAGCTGTCAGGGGCTGCTCCCAGCGCCGCTCATAGTACAGGTTGAGGACACACGGGGCCCTGCGCCCATTCTGAACTGCCCATGGGACCAGCTCCGAGACCAGCACTTGCAGGTGCCTGTGGGGCAGCAGAGGGAAAAGAAAACAGAAGGTCCTGAGGCTGGGCACGCGGTGTGCCTAGTAGTCCCTGTGCACCTTCTCGGTTCACCCTCACACAGACCCAAGACGAAGGTAGCTATTGTCGCCAGTTTTTAAATGAGGACGCAGAAGCTCAGTGAGGTTAAAATCCCGTGCCCAAAGCCACACATCTTGATCATGCCAAAGCCCAGGTTTAAATTGAGGGTTACCTAACTCCAGAAACAAATGCTAGATTGCCCCCAACCACAGCTGCATCATTCTGACCTGGCACTAAGGCCTACAGGGCCCAAGAGACCCTAGGGTCCCATGACATGTCCAGGCTTCATCTGCTGTCCCGGAGACCCTGCGCCCGGCCCGTTTCCCCTCTCCGTCCCGTTCTTCCCACCCTGGCTTCCCGGGGGACCATCGAGGCTGCTCAGGAAGGCAGCATGCTCTCCCTTTCCTGGAGCCTTGCCCCTTGAAGCTCTCCCTTGACCACACCCCTTCAGAACTTACTGGGCACTGAGTCGGACTGGTCCGAAGAGAGCACTGAGGATGCACATGGGCAGGCCGGTCTGGACAGCTTCAAACCACTTCACCACAATCTCCCCTGGGGGAAAGGGTGAGGGATGAGGTAAGAGGTGAGTAGGAAGAGAGGCCAGTGGTGCTGCTTCCTTCTAAGTTATCTCTTCTCTAGAAAGGGTCAGCCAGCCCTGGCCGGTTTGGCCCAGTGGTTAGAGTGTCGGCCTGTGGTCCAGAGAGACCCAGGTTCCGTTCCTGCCAAGGGCACGTACCTCAGTTGCAGTTTGTCCCCGGCCCTGGTTGGTCGTGTGGGTGGCAGCCACTCGATATGTCCCTTCACGTCGATGTCTCTCTCTCTCTCCCACTCTATCTGAACAAAAAAATGCAAAAATATCCTCGGGTGAGGATAAAAAAAACAACCAATGGAAGAATATCCTCCAGTGAGGATTAACAACAAAGAAACAGTGGGGATAGCACGGATGCTACCAAGATGTTCGGGTGAAGCAGAAAAACGAGGCACCAACAAGCTAAGTGGTGGGAGGCAGAGACCTGCAAGCCTCGCCCTGGCCCTGAACAGACCCTGGAGGACAGGCTTGCTGGGGTGCCCTGCCCACCCCCACTCCCAAGGCAGCTGGCGAGGCGGCACTCACCCAGGATGTTGGTGGGCATCCCCAGCAGGGTGTGGAACATGTCGTGCACCTCCCGGTACCGCTGGATCACATACGCCAGCTCCTCATCGTCCACGAATCGGGTGGGCGCTCGGGTATCTGGGGAAACCCTCTGACAACCGTGAGCCTCCCCTAGCCCCCTTCCTCACAGTCCCCAAGGCCCGACTGCCAGCCTCTCCTTGACTCGGTCAACCACTCCCACCAAACTCCTACCCTCAGAACTTCCTGGGGGCTTTGCACCTGTCTGTACCTGCTGACAGGGATCCCTGGGCAGGGAATGTGGTGGTATTGACAACCCCTCAGCCTATGCCATCTGCCAACTCACACATAACGTATGTTGTAATCTGTGGTGAAGAAGCCCCAGGCGGGAGGGGGCAGGAGTCGTTTAATAGATAGAGTTTCCGTTTTACAAGATGAAAAAGCTCAGGAAATTGGTTGCACAACAATGTGAATATATTTAACACTACTGAGCTTTCCATCTAGAAATGGATGAGAAAAATTTTTAATTTGATTTGAAAAAGAGAGAGAGAGAGACATCGATTTGTTCAACTTATTGATGCATTCATTGGTTGATTCTTTTTTTTTTTTAAATCCTCAGCTGAGGATATTTTCCCATTTATCTTCAGACAGAGTGGGGGCGTGGAGACAGACAGACAGAGAGAAACATCAATGTCAGAGAGACACATCAACTGGTTGCCTCCCGCACGACCCTGACCAGGGCCAGGGATGAACCGCAGAGGTATGTGCCCTTGACTGGAATCAAACCCACGACTCTTCAGTCCATGGGTCGATGCTCTAACCACTGAGCTGAACTGGCCAGGGCCATTGGTTGATTCTTTTTTTTAAAGGCTTTTTTTTTTTCTTTATTGATATGAGAGAGAGAGGAAGAGAGGAGATAAAGATAGAAACATCGATGAGAGAGAACATCGACTGGCCACCTCCTGCATGGCCCCCACTGGGGATCAGGTCCACAATGTGGGCATGTGCCCTGACTGGTGGATGGGTTGACGCTCAACCACTGAGCCACACCAGCCGGGCCGTTAGTTGATTCTGATATGTGCCCTGACCGGGGATCAAACCCACAGCCTTGGTATAATGGATGATGCTCTAACCAACCCAGCTAACTGGACAGGGAAGATGGAAAATTTGTTTGTTTGTTTTTACCACAATTATAAATTGAAAAAATAAAAAAACATTCTTAGCATGAGCTAAGGATCCTAAGGTGCTCTCTGGATTTCAAAGACTTAGTATGAGAATAATGTCAAATTACAATAATGAAAAAATATTGACCACATGTTAAAACATATATTAGATACACTGGGTTAAACACAATGTTATTAAAATTAACTCCAGCCCTGGCTGGTTTGGCTCAGTGGTTGGAGCGTTGGCCTGTGGCCCAGAGAGACCCGGGTTCGGTTCCCGCTAAGGGCATGTACCTCGGTTGCAGTTTGTCCCCGGCCCTGGTTGGGTCGTGTGGGTGGCAGCCACTCGATGTGTCCCTTTCACGTCGATGTTTCTCTCTCTCTCTCTCCCACTCTATCTGAACAAAAAAATGGAAAAATGTCCTCGGGTGAGGATAAAAAAAAAAAATTAACTCCACCTGTTCCTTTTTGCTTTGTTAAAGTAGCTAGTACCAGCTTTTAAATTCCCTACAAGGCCAGCGTTGTTTCTATGAACAGTGCTGCAGCCTGCCAGCGGCACAAGATTGGGCTTGCTGCTTTGCTCACTGTTTTGTCTTCATGGCCTGGATGACAAAACATCCCTTGAATGGCCAGCCCAGGCACTTTTCTAACCCCAGGTGGGACAGTCAACTGTCCTTTCACCCACCCACCACCTCTCTGAGTCCTCAGTAGCACACAGAGTGTGGGAAGAGCCGATCTTTCTGGTCCTGAAGCGTGGCCTCAGCCCGTCCAGAGGTGGCGAGGTCTGTGTGGGGCTGCTGGCTCCACGCTGCAGTCTGTCTGTGGCCTCACTGGCCTAATTTCTTCTGCAGCGTTCTACTTTGTGAAGCTGAAGATGATCGTAGTCATTGCAGCTGCACTTACGGAGTCCCTACTATGTGCCTGCACTATACGATGTCATTCACATATATTATCATACTTCATCCTCATGACCATCTAGGGAGCAGAGAGCACTGAGAGCTTCAGATACAGATACGAACGAGCCCTGGCTGGTTTGGCTCAGTGGTTAGAGCGTCGGCCCACAGACCAAAGAGTTCGGGGTTTGATTCCAGCCAAGGGCACGTACCTCAGTTGCGGTTCATCCCCGGGCCCTGGTTGGGGTCGTGTGGGTGGCAACCAATTGACGTGTCTCTCTCACACTGATGTGTCTCTCTCTTTCTCTCCCTCCTACTCTGTCTGAAGATAAATGTTAAAATATCCTTAGGTGAGGATTAAAAAAAAAAAAAAGCAAACCGTACAGTAAGAACAATGAGGCTAAGAGAGATAAACTAACTTGCTCAAGATCACACAGCTAATCAGATGGCTGAGTCAGGAATTTTTTTGTTTTTTTATCCTCACCCAAGGACATTTTTCGATATTTTGTTCAGATAGAGTGGGAGGGAGAGAGAGAGAAACATCGATGTGAAAGGGACACATCGAGTGGTTGCTACCCTCACGACCCAACCAGGGCCGGGGACAAACTGCAACCGAGGTATGTGCCCTTAGCGGGAACCGAACCCGGGTCTCTCTGGACCGCAGGCCGACACTCTAACCGCTGAGCCAAACCGGCCAGGGCCTGAGTCAGGATTTGAAACAAAGTTTGCTGGATTCCAAAGCCAGTCGCTTTAACATTCATTTTTGATAAGCCGTGTAAATGTCCTGGAAGACAAACATTAAGTCCCTTTCCTCACATAGGGAATCTGAGCCTCAGAGTGGTCCAATGACTTGCCCAGGGCCCTAAAGCTGGGAAGAGAGGAAGGATCTAACTCAGGCTACCCTTTTTTTTTCCACTAAGTGCCCCTAGCGGGAACCGAACCCGAGACTCTCTGGTCCACAGGTCAACGTTCCAACTGCTGAGCCAAACCGGCCAAGGCTGACTCAGGCTACTCTTAACTCCAAAACTCATGCCTGTAACCTCAATGACCACATTCCCTACCAATGTCCTCCTCAGGAAGGGTGGCCTCACCTTGAACCTTGATCTAAATCTCTGCTGGCACAAGGGTGTTACTTCACCTCACCCTCTGTGGGCTGCTGGTTTCCAGCCTCTAGAAGTGCCACAATCGCTAGGGCTGGAACTGGGCAAGGTGCCCAGGGAAGCCACTGCAGTCCCATCCCCTCCACAGTAACAGGATAACAGGCTCTGGGGGAACTTCAGAAGAAGGTTGTCCCTCCGTGGGCGACACTAGGGGCAGGTCACCCTGGTGGGTTTCCTACTGATGAACTAATGTGCATCCTGGTGAACTGGAGGGAGATGGTCTACAATGGGACAGGGGCAAGTGTCAGGAATGTATGGGGCAGGTGTTTTTCAGGGATAATAATCTTCTGGAGGAGTGGTTCTCAACTGTGCACCAGGGGACATCTGCAATGTCTGGAGACATTTGTGGTTGTTAAGACTTAGAGGGGTGCTACTGTTGCCTGGTGGGTATAGGCCAGGCCAGGGAGGCTGCTAAACATCCTACAATGTACAGGACAGCCCATGACAAAGAATTTTCCAGTCCAGCCCTGGCCGGTTTGGCTCAGCGGTTAGAGCATCGGCCTGCGGTCCCGAGAGACCCAGGTTTGGTTCCCGCTAGGGGCACGTACCTCGATTGCAGTTTGTCCCCGGCCCTGGTTGGGTTGTGTGGGTGGCAACCACTCGATGTGTCCCTTTCACGTCGATGTTTCTCTCTCTCTCTCTCTCTCCCTCCCTCCCACTCAGTCTATCTGAACAAAATGTCAAAAAATGTCCTCTGGTGAGGATAAAAAAAAAAATTTTTTTTTTAAAAAGTATTTTCCAGTCCAAAAAGACAGCAGTGCCAAGGTTGAGAAACCCATTTCCAAAGAAACCCTCACGCACTGCTTCACCTCCTGCAGCCTGGCTGGCTCCTGCAGCCGGGCTGCACATCCACCTCACAGGTCCTTTGCTGGGATGTGCCTGTGTTGGCGGGTGGGGGTGGGGACAGGGAAGCTATCTACCTGTATCCTAAAGTCTTTTTATAAATCAGATATTAGTTTCCTGCTTGAAATTCTCAGTGGCTTCCGATTGCTCCTATTAAAAAACACAAATTCGCCCTGGCCAGTTTGGCTCAGCAGTTACAGCATCAGCCCATGGACCAAAGAGTCCTGGGTTTGGATCCCGCTAAGGGCACGTACCTCGGTTGCAGTTTGTCCCCGGCTCTGGTTGGGGTCGTGTGGGTGGTGACCAGTCAATGTGTCTCTCTCGCATAGATGTTTCTCTCTCTCTCTTCCTCTTTCCCTTCCGTTCTATCTGAAGATAAATGTAAAAATGTCCTCAGGTGAGGATTAAAAAAAAAAAAATACAACCTCCTCTGCTGTTCCTATTGGCAGAGTGATGCCAAGGCAGCAGGAGCCTGAGAGCCCTGCCTTGCCTGTCCCTCCCTCACCCAGCACCATCCATGGTGCCCCAAGTCAAGGTGCAGTAAGTTGCTGGGGAAGCCAGGCCTGAGGGTAACCTCAGCAGGCCCCGCGCTGACCCACCTCTGGCTACATCCACCCTGGCAGGGCCTGCGGCTGGAGTGTGTCCGCATGTCCTGCCCACAGGAAAGCCAGGCTTGACTCTGGGCCGGGAGAATGTGTTGGTCACACTGAAAGGTGGAGCAGCACAGGGCTGGGCGTTCCCAGAGAGCCCCTGGCAGACAGTCGGGGTGTCAGACAGGATGTGACATGTGGCCTTGCTGTGGACAGTGATTTGGGACTTGGCTGGTCTTAGGACTGAGTGCCAGGAAATAGCCTGAGGTAGCGCAGGAAGCAGTGCATAGGTGCCAGACAGTTCCCTGGCAGAGCCCAGGGCCCACGGCCCCAGGACTGGAAAGAGACCAAGGGGGTAGTTGCCCTGGAGGGTTACTAGGGCCTGCTCTGACCCAGCTCTCCCCCTGTGCTGTTCCATCTTCCCACCAGCCTCTGTCACCAAAGTTGCTGCCCTAGCTATGGATATCTGCTTCTTCCAGAGAAATAAAATTACTTTCTATTTTATGTTAAAAATAAAACAAAACAATACAATACAGCCCTGGCCGGTTTGGCTCAGCGGTTAGAGCATCGACCTGCGGTCCAGAGAGACCTGGGTTTGGTTCCCACTGAGGGTGCGTACCTCGGTTGCAGTTTGTCCCCGGCCCTGGTTGGTTGTGCGGGTGGCAGCCACTTGATGTGTCCCTTTCACTTCGATGTTTCTCTCTCTCTCTCTCTCTTCCTCTCTCTATCTCCCACTCTATCTGAACAAAAAATGGAAAAATGTGCTTGGGTGAGGATTAAAACACACACACACACACACAAATAATACAAACTCCTTATGGTTCGTTCCTGGGTTTTGGCACCAAAAAAAAAAAAAATACCAGACTCCTTCTCATGGCTGGCAGGGCCTGGCCCGGCGGACCTCCCAGTCCACTGCCTTCCCCGATTCTCTCCTCTGCGGCCACATGGCTCAGTTTCCCTTTCTTTAAACATGCAGAGCCTTGCCCTTGCCAATCTAGCTCAGCGGTTAGTGCATCAGACCACAGACCAAGGGGTTGAGGGTTCAATTCCCGATCAAGGGCACATACCTCAGTTGCAGGTTGGAGGTCATGTGGGGGGCAACCAATCAATGTGTGTCTCTCTCTCACCCTCCCTTCCACTCTATCTAAAAATCAGTAAAAAATATCCTCGGTTGAGGATTAACAACAGAAAACCATACAGAGTGGCCCTGGCCGGTTTGGAGCAGCAGTAGAATGTCGGCCCACAGACCAATGAATTGCGGGTTTGATTCTGTTCAAGGGCATGTACCTTGGTTGCAGTTTGTCCCCGGCCCTGGTTGGGGTTGTGGAGGAGGCAACCAGTCGATGTGTCCCTCTCACGTCGATGTTTCTTTCTCTCTTCCTTTCTCTCCCTCCCACTCTATCTGAGGATAACTGGCAAAATATCCTTGGGTGAGGATTAAAAAAAAAAACCAAAAAACCACGTAGAGTCTTGCACTTGCCAATCCCTCAGAATGTTTCTCCTATGTCTCCTCAGAGCTGGCTCCTCTTCCTCTTGTAAGTCTCCCATGACCACCCTATCAAAAGTGGCCACCACCACTGCCACCCTGTCCTCTATCACAGTGACTGCTGTCCTCATAGCACCATCTGCTGAGTGGAAGCTCCATAAAGTGGGCTCTTTGCTGGTTTTGTTCACTGTGTCCCAGTTGCTATGAATACTGTCTGGGAAGTTCTAATTATGCAATAAATATTGTAAGTGAATTTGTATATGACACTTTCTTTCTTTTCCTGCCTTCTCTACCTCCCCAACCAGAATATCAGCTCCACGAGGGCAGGGACCTTGTCTGTCTAGCTCTCCGTTATGTCCCCAGGACCTGGAACCATTCGATGACACATACCAGATGCTAACAAGTGAATGAGTTCCTCAGTAACTGGAGCCCCCTCCCCTAGGGCTGGAGGGTGCCAGAACTTGTCATACCCTGGCAAAAACACTGTCTCTGGAACAGGGAACACAGTGCAGCAGTTAACAGCATGGTCTGGGTTTGTATACTGCTTCCATTAACACTGGCTGTATGAAGTCAACAAGTGGCTTAACTCCTCTAAGCCTCAGTTTCATCTATTAAAAGGGGATAATAATAAAACATACTTGACAGGGATATTGGGAGGATTCAGCGAGATCACGTATGAGCCTGGCATCGGGAATGCAGTAAGAGGTTAATGAATACTGGCCAGAATTATCGGTTGGAGTGATATTACTGGCCCATCTACCTGGCCTATTGTCCCACAGAAAATCAGAGAGCCTTGGTACAAGAGACTGAAAAGCACTCCTGCCCATGGTGGCAACTCAGGGTTCCTCGTTCCTTGGGACATCACTCCCATGCCACTCATCGGACCTTCCTGGTGAGGGCTACATACACAGAAACTGGAAACTCACATTCTCATCCAGGAAACGGAGATACTCTCGGCCAAGGGAGCCCTCAGGCAGGCTCTGGAGCTTGCCCAGGTCAAGGGTGGCCAGAGAGATCCGGGGACGCTCCCTGCAAGGCAGAAGGCAGGACTAGGTATTGGGAAGGCACCAGGAAAGGCTGGGAAAGGTTCAGCTAGAACAAGGTTGTGATAGGTGAAGGGCAGAGCAGCAATGGGCCCACAAGTCCTGATGGAGCATCTTCTAGGTGGAAGGGACTGAGGAGATCACCACAAGGAAGTCGTGGTTCCTGCCTACAGAGGCACAATCTGGGCAGGCAGGCCTCAGACACGATCGGGATACTCACAGGAAGGGGTGAGGGGTAGAGCTAGTCCGTGTTATGGGAGCTTAGAGAAGGTATAGAGCCTTGTGGCTGGAACTAGGCCGAGGCCAACAGATGGCACTACCCAGGGGGTCATTGTAGGGTATATATGAATGGCATCCCTGGAGTTAAGCAGTGCCCACCTGTGCAGCCATCCATAGCCAGGATAGCGAGAGCTCCCTAGAGAAATAGAACTGACACAGTGAGACTCGAGAGAGAGAGAGCAGGATCCCCAAAGAATATTCCCAACCCCCCAGGCAAAGCTGGGACCTACTGCAGGATCTGGGAACCCTCTGGATCCCTCTTCATCTGGTCTCTGAGGACCTTCAGGGCACGGCATCCTGTGGTTTCCCCTAGAACTGCAACCATGTCTGAAAGGAGAGAAATTGGGATAAATGGAGGATATGACCTTAGATAAGTTACTTGACCTGGTCTGAGTCTTAATTTCCTAAGCGATAAAGCAGGAATAAGATCTACCTTTAAGCCCTGGCCGGTTTGGCTCAGCAGTTGGAGCGTTGGCCTGCGGTACAGAGAGACCCGGGTTTGGTTCCCGCTAAGGGCACGTACCTTGGTTGCAGTTTGTCCCCGGCCCTGGTTGGTCGTGCGGGTGGCAGCCACTCGATGTGTCCCTTCACATCGATGTTTCTCTCTCTCTTCCTCTCTCTCCCTCCTGCTCTATCTGATCAAAAAATGGAAAAATGTCCTCGGGTGAGGATAAAAAAAAAAAAAATCTACCTTTAAGTTATGAGGATTCATGTTAAACACTTAGCAAATCATCCTGCACAGTTAGGGCTCAATATACCTATACTTATTAGTATTGATGTTACTGTTCTATTGGGACGAGGGGGCTCTGCTTAGCACAGTGCTCTCAAGAGGTTATAGATCATTTTCTTTTCTTTCTTTTTTTTTAATCCTCATCCGAGGACATTTTTCCATTTTTTGTACAGACAGAGTGGGAGGGAGAGAGAGGAAGAGAGAGAGGGAAACATCGATGTGAAAGGGACACATCGAGTGGCTGCCACCCGCACGACCAACCAGGGCCGGGGACAAACTGCAACCGAGGTACGTGCCCTTAGCGGGAACCGAACCCGGGTCTCTCCGGACCGCAGGTGGACGCTCTAACCGCTGAGCCAAACCGGCCAGGGCTAGATCATTTTCATATCCATTATTAACAACACAATGTCTCCATTAATAATATAATGTCTCCATTGACTGGTACAAGCTTTGGTATCAGAGTGCTGGGTTTGAGCCCAGGTGCAGTCACTGTCTAGGTGATCTTATGTAAACGACTTCCCATTTTCAAGCCTTACTGTCCTAGTTTGTGAAGCACAGATAACATCTTTCTAATAGGGTTAATGTCGAAATCAAAAACATCATATTAAAGCACTTAGCACAGTGAGCAGCCAGAATGTGTTCAGTGAGTAGTTAGAATTATTGTTTTTATTAGAAGGAGTGATAGTACTCAACAGACTTAAGAAGTCCTGGGAGGGATGAGAAAGGCATCGTAGAATCCTAGGATGTTCCAGTCATACATCAAGCAAACATTTATTGGCCAGGCACTATCCAAAATGCTGCCATTACAGGGCAGTCATGGTCCCCAACCTTATAAAGTTTAGTTTCTAGTGGGACGTTAGCATTCGATGGGTACTTCTAAATCATCTATTTAGTCCAGAGGTTCTCATTGTGGCTGGATGACAGAATATCCTGGGAAGTGGTTTCAAAAGGCAGAAACTCAAGATTCCAGGCCCCTTCCTTCTGCCCCTCTCCACACCTGCCAGAGACTGGTCGCGTTTAGGGCGGAACCCACGCATATGCACTTTTATGAATGTTCCTGGTGATTATGAGGTACAGCCACCAGGTGTGGGTGCCCTAATCTAATCTATTCTCCAGTTACCCATGGGAAACGTAAACTTTGGCAGAAGTCGGAACTGCCCAGGCTTCCAAGACAACGGCCCCCACTGGGGCGCGGGGCGCGGGCGGCCTTACCGTGGCGATACGGGTTGTAGAGGGCCATGCCCGCAGAGCCGGCGGCCAACAGAGCCTTCTGCAGCGGGGACGTGGGGATGTGTTCGGGATAGAGCAGGCCGGTGCCATGGCTCGCGGCTCGGAAGGGCACATCTGCCGGGCAAGAAAAAGGCCGTGGTCAAAAGTGTCGGGGGCCTGCCGGTGTGTCTCGTTGGACTGAGCGCGGTCTGCACCGAGAGGTCTCCGATTCAATTCCTGGTCAGGGCACATGCCCAGGTTTCCGGCTCATCCCTAGAGTGGGGCGTGCAGGAGGCGGCCGATCTGATGTTTCTCTCTCTACCCCTCTCCCTTCCTATCTTACAAAAAAAAATCAATAAAAAAATTTTTTAAAAAAAGTGTGGGGGTCCCCCAGGACTACTTCCCGCCTCCGCCACTTGCCTCCTGCAGGTCCGGGAAGACGCTGGAGCAGGCGGAGGGGATGTAGGCTCTCGCGCAGCAGCGTCACCATGACAGCAGGCACTTCCCTGGGGCCGCGGGACAACCAGAAGGACAAGGCCAACGCTCCCAACTTTCCTGACGACCGAGCGCCGGGAAGGTCAGGTCAAAAGACCTCGATCTCTATTACTCTGAATAGGGCCTTTCGGGAGGGGGGAAGGGAATACAGCACGGACAAGAAAGGGCCCTATCGCTAAGTGTAAGCAGGAAACTCAGGCGATCTGTCTGCCACCTACTCTACCGATGTAAAACTCTCCCCATCTCACTTCACCCCAGAAAGGATCTCCAAGTAAGTCCCGCTAGCATTGGGGTTCAGCGCCGGACCAGACTTCCTTTTTCGCAGCACCTCTCCCCGGAGGATGTTAAGAGGAGAACCACTTCCGGTTGCGAAACCTGACGGCGCCCAGTGTAAGGACTATATTTGGGGGCGGGGCCGTCCGGCACTTCCGGTCTCCAGCTTTGCCGGGAGCCTGGACCGCCTGCTTCGACATGGGGTGCGCCGGCTTGGCGCGGTTGCACGGGCTCTTTGCGGCCTACAAGCCCCCAGGGCTAAACTGGAAGCACCTGCGGGACACAGTGGAGCTGCAGCTTCTGAAGGGTGAGTGCTTCTCGCCAGACCTGCAACTGCGCTCGCGTTCTCCCGGGAATCCATTTCCGCTTCTGATCCACTAGCAAAAACAAAGTCGTGTGACCTAGTCGGCAGGGCAGAGCGGCCTTCTAATCATGTATTCCAAACTCGGCTGCTCCTCACTTTCCCTTGTGTTCAAATGGGTAAACGGACTCAGGATAGTCCACTGCCATAAGCAGTTAATAAGTAATAGTCAGGATTTGGATTTGTTTGTTTCCCAACTACTATTGTTCTGTTCGCTGCACCGTGGGCCCTCTTCGACTCCTACATCTCCATACTTCCCTGATCCTTCTCTCCCAGGTGTTCGGACAGAGTTGACAAGATGTTCTTTACCTGTGTATGCACAGGTCTCAATGCTAGGAAGCCTCCTGCCCCTGAACAGCGTGTTCGCTTCCTGCTGGGCCCCGTGGAAGGCAGCGAAGAGAAGGAGCTGACCCTCACAGCCACCAGTGTGCCCACCCTCACCAACCATCCTCTGGGTAAGACACATTCAGGCTGGGGCCTGGGTGTCACTTCCCAGGAAATCTCTGCCCAGAGTCAGTGTCCCAGTCAGTGCTCAGACTCCTGTCCCAGACCTTTGGAGGGTTACAGTGGAGGTGAAGTATTTAACAAGGAATATACATATTTTCCAGAAAGTAAATTCTTTAGGCTTTGGAGGTCCAGTTCTGCAATTATAGTGCAAAAGCAGCTGTAGGCAACATGTAAAGCAATGAGCCTGGCTGTATTTCAATAAAACTTTATTTATGGACTGACATGTGAATTTTATATAATTGTCCCAGATTATTATTCGCTTGGCTTTTTTGAACCTTTAAAAAATGGAAAAACAGCCCTAGCCGGTTTGGCTTAGTGGTTAGAGTGTCGGCCTGCGGTCCAGAGAGACCCGGGTTCGGTTCCCGCTAAGGGCACCTACCTCGGTTGCAGTTTGTCCCCAGCCCTGGTTGGGTCGTGCGGGAGGCAGCCACTTGATGTGTCCATTTCACATCAATGTTTCTCTCTCTCTCTTCCCCTCCCACTCTACTGAACAAAAAATGAAAAAATGTCCTCGGGTGAGGATAAAATGGAAAAACATTTTAACTCATGGGCCATTATAAAAGCAAGCTTGAGGATTTGGCCTGTGAACTAGAGTTTGCTGATTCCATTACTATTCTGCGATTCCAGGTGGGAATTGAGATCCTCAGGTAGAAGTCCTAAGGAGGTAGACATCGGGAGGCCCAAGGGTTGACCAAAAACCTCTAAACCCCTTCAATGGTAATACTCAGGGACTCTACAGTATAACAATAACAAGTATGATGTATTAAGGATCTACTTTGTACTAGATACAGTGTTAAGCTTTTTCCAAATACCTTCTCATTGAATCTTCACCACAATCCTATGAGGTAAATCCTATTCTCATTTTACAAATGAGGAAACTGAGGCTTTGTGTTGACATTAAGTAACAGTCTGGATTCAGTAGGCTTTTCACCACCTCATTTCCTCTCCCTAGATTCCTCTGGATCTACAGAAGTGTAAATGCTTCTGGTTTATTCCTGCATTCACTCCGTGTTTTTTTTAACAGCTTTATTGCGTGTTTTTTTTAACAGCTTTATTGAGGTATAATTGATATTTTTAAAAAACTACATACATTTTAGTTTATGTATTTTGATGAACGCTTCATTCTTTCGGTAGTTATTATTATTTTTTTTTATCCTCACCCGAGGACATTTTTCCATTTTTTTTTTTTTTTTGTACAGATAGAGTGGGAGGGAGAGAGAGGAAGAGACAGAGAGAGAGAAACATCGATGTGAAAGGGACACATCGAGTGGCTGCCACCGCACGACCAACCAGGGCCGGGGACAAACTGCAACCGAAGTACTTGTCCTTAGCGGGAACCGAACCCGGGTCTCTCCGGACCGCAGGCCGACGCTCTAACCGCTGAGCCAAACCGGCCAGGGCTCGGTAGTTATTTTATGAGCAGCTAGTTAGTTCTGGGTCCCCAGGGTAGAGCTGTGCACAGACAGACCCAGGCCCTGCCTTAAGGAGCTCACAGTCCATTTCCTCACTGGGAGAGTGGCCAGGCCTCTTCTGCAGGAGCTTGATTCTCAATCTTGACTCTGAGTGTTATGCCCTACAATCTTGATTGTTATACCCTATAATCTTGATTCTCAGTGTTATGCCCATTTCACTCAAAGCCTCTCATTGAGGGAATGGTGACAGGTAGAATAACAAGCATCTTGTGTTGCCCTTTCTGTGGGCCAAGGGAACTGAAAAAAATGGTTCTAGGCCCCAGAATCCATGGTGGGGAAGCCCGAAAGTCCAACCTGATCCTGGTCTGGTCTCTGTGAGGCTACATTCTAGGAATGAGGTCATCACACAGCCCAGAGCTATCCTCATTTGTTGAGGAAAAGAACCTCATTTGTTTCTTTCTAGTATGTGGACCAGCATTCACCAGCCTAAAGGTTGGCGTGGGACACCGGCTGGATGTCCAGGCGTCTGGAGTGCTTGGTAGGTGATGTGAGCCTGGGGGTGCAATGATATAGGCTTGGGGGGTACCAGGAACCCATCCCACTTCCAGCCAGACAGCCATTTCCTACCACTGCTCCCCTCCCCTGATTCCTGCCCTAACTCTGATCAGCTTTTGGAAGGGGGAGTCACAATTGCCCACCTTTATCAAGTGATCCCTGCATGTGACATGGTACAAAGCCATATGTGTATTTACCATAACAACTTTACTAGGTAGATACCATATGGTTTTATGAATGAAAAAAGTAAGGCTCCACAAGATTAAGTGACTTGTCTTGAGTCACATGTCTAGAGAATGCCCCTGGTAGCCAAGCATGTGGCACAAAACCCTGAGCTATGAGCCATTTGTGTCCCAAGGGTCAGGTGGTGTCTACATTTTCTATTTGTTACAGTCATAGTCTCCTTGTCTTGCTTCCTGGGTCACTGACAGGCAGACATGATCTCATCCTCTGCTCCTCCCAGGAGTGAATGGAGGATCATCCTCTCCTTCAGCCAGAGGGAGAAACAGCCAGGAAAAGGCAGGGAGTGGCACAGTGCCCCCTTTATGGGGCCCTTTCTTTGTGCTGACTGCTTTCAGTGCATTGCCTCAGTCTTCACAACACTATAGGCACCAGACAATATTTTTATCCCCAGTTTACTGATGGGGAGCCTGAGGCCCAAAGAGGTTAAAGGACATCCTTAGAGCCACCCCTGATTTAAGTGCAGGTTTCTGTGACTGAGCCAGTGGTCTCTTACTTTTGAGTATATCAGAAACTCTTGGAGAGCCCCTTGTGGCTCAGTTGGTTGGGTGTCATCCCGTGCACTGAGAGGTCACCGGTTCAATTCCTGGTCAGGGCACATGCCTGGGTTGTTGATTCAGTTCCTGGTAGGGGGCATATGGGAGGCAGCCAATCCATGTTTTGTTCTCACATCAATATTTCTCTCTCTCTCCCTTTCTCTCTAAGAATCAATTTTTAAAATCTTAAAAAAAAAGAAAGAAACTTTTAGAGAGCTTGGTAGGCATCCTAGGACCCCCGCCTCATCACAAGTCAGAGTCAGTGCATATGGGTGGGACCCAGAAATCTGTATTTTCATATATACCCAGAGGATTCAGTAGGAGGGAGCTCACTTGCTCCCTGTAGAAGAAGCTTTCCTTGCCCCTTTGCTGGCTTCAGCAGCATTGGAGGTGGGAATATTCTGATGGCAGGTGTGGGAGTTGGGGTCCCAGGGCAATGGGAAGGGAGAGCCAGGTGTGAGATCAGACTGGATGCCTTTCAGTGCTCGGCGTGGGACACGGATGCAGTCTCCTCACTGACATGTACAACGCTCACCTCACCAAGGTACAGGGTGCTGGGGACAGCTTGCTTATCCTCTGGTCCCTTCCCTGAGGGTCACTGGGGGGCACTGGCAGGATTCTGAAGCTGAGAGGATTCCACTGGGAACATCCAGGCCATCAGTAAACATTTTTTTTTATATATATAATCTGTAGATTTATTTATTTATTTATTTTTAAATTTTATTTTTGTTACAGATGTTTCTCCTTTTTTACCCCATTGACACCCTCCTCTCCATCCTCCCCGCCCTGTCCCCTGGCTTTGTTGTTTATGTCCATTGGTTATGCATACATGCATATAAGTTCTGTGGTTTATCTCTTCCCACCCCCCCACCACGCCCTCTTCTGAGGGTTGTCAGTCTGTACCCTACTTCCATGTTTCTGGGTCTACCCTATTCCTCAGACTATTATATTCATTATATTCCATACATAAGTGAGATCATGTGGTATTTGTCTTTTTCTGCTTGGCTTGTTTCACTTAGGATAATACTTTCCAGGTCCCTCCATGTTGTCTCAAAGGATAAGAGATCTTTCTTTCTTACAGCTGCATAGTACTCCATTGTGTATATGTACCACAGCTTTTTATCCATTCGTCTACTGATGGACACTTGGGCTGTTTCCAGATCTTAGCTATTGTAAATAGTGCTGCTATGAACATGGGGGTACATATATTCTTTCTGATTGGTGTCTCAGGCTTCTTAGGGTCTATTCCTAGAAGCGGGATCACTGGGTCAAATGGAAGTTCGATTTTTAATTTTTTGAGGTAACACCATATTGTTTTCCATAGTGGCTGCACCAGTCTGCATTCCCACCAGCAGTGCACTAGAGTCCCCTTTTCTCCACACCCTCGCCAACACTTGTTGTTTGAGGATTTGTTGATGGCGGCCATTCTGACAGGTGTGAGATGATACCTCATTGTTGTTTTAATTTGCATCTCTCTGATGATTAGTGATGTTGAGCATTTTTTCATATGTCTCTTGGCCATTTGTATGTCCTGTTTGGAGAGGTGTCTATTCAGCTCCTCTGCCCATTTTTTAATTGGGTTCTTTATCTTCCTTTTGTTGAGTTGTATGAGTACTCTATATATTTTGGAAATTAACCCCTTATCTGATGTATCATTGGCAGTGATGTTCTCCCATACAGTGGGTTGCCTTTCCATTTTGATGGTTGTTTATTTTGCTGTGAAGAAGCTTTTTAGTTTGATGTAGTCCCATGTGTTCATTTTTTCCTTTGTTTCTATTGCCTTAGGTGATGTATCAGTGAAAATTCTGCTGCATATGTTTGAAATTTTGTTGCCTATATTTTCTTCTAGAATTTTTATGGATTCACAGGTCACATTTAAGTCCTATCCATTTTGAGTTTATTTTTGTGTTTGGTGTAAGTTGATGGTCTAGTTTCATTTCTTTGCATGTAGCTGTCCAATTTTCCCAACACCATTTATTAAAGAGGCTGTCTTTATCAGTAAGCATTTTTTATGGTCATGTGCTATGTGCTATGGAAGACTAAAAATGGTGTAACAGTGACTGCTGGGATTAATGGTGTAACAGCTGACTGCTCTATGCTGAGCACTGTACATGGATTCTCTCATGAGCATCTCATAACTTCCCTGCAAAGTGGGATCTGTTGTTAACCCATTATACAGATGAGACAGTTCAGAGAGAGGATGTCGCTTGCTCAGGGTCGTGTAGCCTGAAAGGGACAGAGTTGAAATTTGAACCTGGATCTGTCCGACACCAGAGCCTGATCATGACACCACTTCATTCTCTCCCCAAGACAGAAGTGGACATCACTGTCTAGGCATCAGGGAGCTTGTGTCCAGGCTGGGGCTGTGGGGTCTGGCACCACGGGCGTGTGGGGAGGTGTCATGTTAGAGGGTCCATGTTTTTGGTTTTTTTTTAATCCTCACTCGATATTTTTCCATCTATTTTCAGAGTGGGAGGGAGAGAGAGAGAGAGAGACATCAATGTGAGAGGAACACATCAACTGGTTGCTTCCCACATGACCCCAACCCTTGACTGGAATTGAACTGGTGACTCTTCAGTCCACAGGCCGACATTCTAACTGCTGAACCAAACCGGTCAGGGCAAGGGTCCGTGTTTTTAATGGTTAAGAGCACAAATTCTGGAACCAAAAGCAGCTTCTACCTCTACCAGTTTTGGGGCCTTGGATGGATTACTTTACATTTGTGTGCCCCCACTTCCTCATTTCTTAAGTGGGAAGGACAATAGGACTTCTTCTGTATAGGGTCACTTGGAAGGTTAAATTAGTGACTACGTGTCATGTAGCACAGTCATTGGCACGTGGTAAATGCTCATTCAGTTCACTTTTGCCATCATCGTAGTCATTGTCATTACTCTGATTTGTGCAGAGGCGGTCAGCTGCATAGATCATACCTAGAGGGGGTGGGTAGAAGCCCACAGGGCATGCTGGGAGGGGACCGGCATGATAAACTGTCAGGTTTGCCTGGAATGGAGAGGTGTGGAGGCCTGAGGTGCTTGCACTGTGTGCGTCAGCACCCTTTTCGGGCTGCCAGTCCTGACTGTCATAGGAAAGTCCAGTGTCCTTCCCGCGGAGCAGCAGCAGGGACTGAGTGCCTGAGCTCCCTGGAGGAAGACCCGGGGGCCCCCGACCCCCAGCCTCAGTCTAGCACCTCCCTCGTCAGTGCTGAGGCTTAGAGGAGGGGCACAGCTGGATCTTCCCCTCCCTGTCCTCAGGATTACACGGTTCGAGGCCTCCTGGGCAAAGCCACAGATGACTTCTGTGAGGACGGGCGGCTGGTGGAGAAGACGACCTATGGTGAGAGCCCGTGGGAGCCCAGGGCGGTGAGAGGAGCAGCTGAGGCTCCCTCCGCATTTGCTTACCCTGATTCCTCACCCCCCCCCCCCCGTTACTTTGAGGCACACTGAGCGCGGGCTACCTGTGGGGAGGCTGTGGACACATCGTTCTGTCTCCCAGGAATGCCCTGTGCTCTTCTGTGCTGCCTCACCTGGTTTAAATGTCACCTCCCCAGGGAAGCTTCTTTAGCCTCTACACTTGGACTAGATGGACTCTCAAAATAGTAATCAGCTAATGATTAGTGATTATTTAATATCCATCTCCCAACCAGACTGTCACCCATGAGAGTTGAAACTAATTTCACTCCTGTGATCACACCTAGCTCAGGGTCTGGGATGTGGGAGGTGCTTGTTAGATGGAGTGGGTGGATAGGGGATGGATGGACTATGGATAGGGAGGACTAGAAGGATGGATGAATGGTAGGATGGGGGATGGGTGGGTGGACAGATGGATAGATGAATGGATGGATGGATGGATGGATGGAGGATAGGTGAATAGATGGATGGGGGATGAATGAATGGATGGATGGATGGCCCATTCTTTACTTCTTACTTTCCTCATGTTTTAATACTTTCAATAAAAGGTATTGCATTTGCTCTGGCCAGGTAGCCTAGTTGGTTAGAGTTTCAGTGCACATACAAGAATCAACCAATGAATGCGTAAATAAGTGGAACAACAAAATGATGTTTCCCTCTCTCTCTCAAATATATACATATACATATATATTGCATTTGTTTACTTGGCATATATATTTTGTTAGATTTGGCATATGTTTTTGAGTACCAATCATGTTCCAGGCACTGGAAGGACATATGATAAATTAGATGGGGTCCCCAATTTCAATGAACTCAGTCTTGCCAGGAGAACAGACACAAAGACACACTTCTACATCTTCTGGAGAAGATTAAAAGGATGGCAAGGCAACACTGTATATTTGTATATGTAGGTGTGTCAGCATCAAAACATGGCTACAGACAACTACCGCCCTGGCCAGTTTGGCTTAGCAGTTAGAGTGTCAGCCTGTGGACCAGAGAGACCCGGGTTCGGTTCCCGATGAGGACACGTACCTTGGTTGCAGTTTGTCCCCGGCCCTGGTTGAGTCATGTGGGTGGCAGCTGGTCGATGTGTCTTTCTCACATCGATGTTTCTCTTTCTCTCTTCCTCCCTCTTTCCCTCCTGCTCTATCTGAAGATAAATGCAAAAAAAAGACAACTACCAAGTTAACACTTCTGGGAGGGAGAAAGCCAAAATTTGGAGAATGGGAGATGTTTGTTGATGTGGCTCCGAATTTTTCTTTCTTTCTTTTTTTTTTAAAGATTTTCTATTGATTTTTTTTTTTGAGAGAGAGAGAGAGAAACATTGATGTGAGAGTGAAACATCAGTTGGCTGCCTTCTGCATGCCCCTACCTGGGGTCGAGCCCACAACCTAGCCATGTGCCCTGACTGGGAATCTATATGGCAACTTTTCAGAACACAGGATGACACCCACCCAGCTGAGCCACACCAGCCAGGGTGCAGATCTTAATTTTTTTTTTAATCCTCACCTGAGGATATTTTTTCTATTGATTATTTTTAGAGAGAGGAAGGGAGGAAAAGAGAGAGAGGGAGAGAGAAACGTCAATGTGAGAGAGACACATCAGTTGGTTGTCTCCTGCACACACCTCGACCAGGGCCCAGGATTAAACCTGCAACCCAGGTATGTGCCCTTGACTGGAATTGAACCCTAGACCCTTCAGTGTGCAGGCCGACACTCTAACCATTGAGCCACACCGGCCATGGCCGGATCCAAATTTCTTAAAAAACATTCATATATCAATTACATAATTGAAAAATAATGCGAAAGCCAAAGAAAATTAAGTAGTGGGAAAGAGACCCAGGTGCAGAGTGGCAGAAGCCAGGAGGAAAAGCAACATGCTCCAGGACGGGCTTCCTGGAGGAGGAAGCCGTTGACTTGGCTGTAAATGATGGGGGAGGAGTCAGTGGCATTCCCAGGTGCATGCCAGGTAAGACAACAGCACAAATGAAGCTAGGCAGAAGGGGAGCTAGGCAGAAGGGAAGCGAGGCCTAGGCTGTCAAGCCTTCGGCCGCCACACCTGCTCCCTAACCTTTGGAGCTGTAAGTTGGCACCTGCCCTGGCTCGGCTGCAGGGGCAGCCTGTGAGCAGGGTTTGTGTCCCCAGGCTTTGCTGCTGCCTACCCTACAGTCACTCAGTGAGACCAGCAGGCAGAGCTACTCCCACTTTACCACCTGTTTCTGCATTTGGGCAGATGGTACCCTCCCTCCTAGGGTTCCTGGCATGAAACACCCTAGACTGGGGCTCAGGAGGCTGGGCTCAGAATAATAAGCAAAGTCACATTATAACTTTGAGCTTTGTTTCCAGAAGAAAATGTTTTACATTTGGAGTCTTACAGCCCCTTGAAAATGTCCTTAAAATGCTGCATTCATGCGTATCTTTCTGAGAAGAGGGGCCTGAACTTTCATAAGATTCTTAAAGGTCTCTCAACCCTCAAATGGGATGCCTGGGACCAGAGGATACTCTGGGGTCCCCTTCAGATTCTGAGGACGGGGCTGGTTTGGGGGGAGGGATTCTGTCAGTTGGTTGTTTCCCAGCTTCAGAAGGCACCTGTGTGCGGACCATCCCCTGGCTTTTTCAGACCACGTGACCAGAGAGAAGCTGGACCGAATCCTGGCCCTAATCCAAGGCTCCCATCAGAAGGCCCTGGTGACGTAAGTGGGGCCTGACCCACACCTCTCTGAAAGGGGCCCTCAAGGAGGTGCTGGAACAAGAGGTGCCCACAGGGCTCCCATACCTTCCACCCCCCTGGGGGCCGATGCCACGGATCTTCTTTTCAGAGCCTGAAACCAGACCTGAACCATTTATTCCTTCCCCAGCGTGTGGAAGTGTTTCTGTGTCAGGTCATAGGCCAGCCCTTGGGGAGCTGAGGGGCACGGAACGGCTGCCCTCCTAGGGGGTGTATGATCTAAAGGAGAGAAAAGCCAGGGGCCCGCATCCTTATAGCGCAGAGCCAGGGGCAGGCGCGGTCAGCGTACGTGTGATGTTGAAGACGGGGACAGTGTGCAGGGGAGGGCAGGCTGCGCTTACGGATTAGAGGACAAGAGAAAAACAGCTGCTTAACAGGCCCCTGGAGGGGAAGGGGAGATGGAGAGAGAATGAGGAGCTTCAGGAAAGGCATCTTGCAGGAGTGGGCAGGGCCAGGGTTAAGCCCAGCCCCCCCACACCATTCCAGCCACCCAGTCTACCTGCCTCCTGATCCCCAGGTACTCCAACCTTGACCTGCAGACCCAGGAGGCCTATGAGATGGCCGTGAGAGGCTCGGTCCGGCCCATGAACAAGTCCCCGATGCTGGTAACTGGCATCCGATGCCTCCACTTTGCACCTCCAGAATTTCTCTTAGGTAAGTTGTCCCAGGAAGTTGGAGCAGGGAGACAGGACTCCTGGGTTTGGAGAGTCACTGTGGAATGCCCTTGCAGAGGCCAGCGCATGCCAACTCCCACCTCTGCTGGTTGAGGCAGCAGGGACACACTTCCCTCCCAGCCCTGGGCTGGCTGATCCTAGGCACGCAGAACAGATGCTGTCCTATCTCCTGCCGAGTCACCCTTCGAAGCCATTACTTAACAAGCTAAGGTTCTGTTTAGTGGCTCACTTTTATTTATTTATTTATTTATTTTTTATTTTATTTTTTTTTTTTGTTCAGATAGAGTGGGAAGGGGAGAGAGAGAGAAACATTGATGTGAAAGGGACACATCGAGTGGTTGCCACCCGCACGACCCAACCAGGGCCGGGGACAAACTGCACCCGAGGTACGTGCCCTTAGCAGGAACCGAACCCGGATCTCTCTGGACCACAGGCCGACGCTCTAACCACTGAGCCAAACTGGCCAGGGCTAGTGGCTCACTTTTAGAACCACCCAGTGCTTCAAGGGCCATCAGACAGCATTGTCACTTCTCCTTGTCCCACCCAACCCAGCCCCCCGCCCCTCGCTGCTTTCTTCTCCGTTGATCATATTAATGAGAGGGCTTCGTTTCTTGTGCACTGACCAAGACTCACCATGCTGAGCATCTTAGACTATAAATTATCCCTTGGACTCCTCACAACCTCCCATTTTATAGATGAGCAAACCAAGTCTTATTGTATTGCTTTGACTTTAACCTGCCCACACATCACCTAGGGTCTTCTTACAAGGCAAATTTTGACTCAGCAGGTCTGGGTGGGGCCTGAGGTAGTCCAACAGCCTTTCCTATAGCACCCGCAAGGCAGCCCTCAGGCTACACTTTGAATAGCAAAGCCCTGGAAAGGAAGGTGTTTTGCTAAGGTTGTCTTACAGCCAGGAGGTACCAAGGGGTATGGATCTAGATCAGCGACACCAGAGGCTGTGCTCCTGACCATTGTATCTCACTGCATGTCCCTGGCAGAGGTGCGGTGCATGCATGAGACGCAGAAGCAGCTGCGGAGGCTGGTGCATGAGATTGGCCTGGAGCTGAAGACCACTGCTGTCTGCTCCCAAGTTCGGCGGACACGTGATGGCTTCTTCACCCTCGACGATGCCCTCCTGAGGACGCATTGGGACCTATACAGCATTCAGGATGCCATTCAGGCTGCAGCCCCCCGGGTGGCAGCGGAGCTGGAAAAGAACTTGAGGCAGGGGCTGGGCACCCAGCATTGTCCAGCCTGGCAGTGGGACAGTGAGGAGCCAAGCTCTGCCTCGAAAGGCTGGACAGCTGGTGGAGCAGCAGGTGGATAAAGATCAGAGTTGTTCATGGGCTGGAATGGACAACTCTGCAGAAAGTAGGGGGAACTTTACTACATGTGGCCTGAAACTTTGAAGCTGTAAGAGAAAAGACTTGACCCAACTGAAAAGGACAAACTTCACATGATGACAGACTGGTAAAAATATTTGCAGTGTGTTTAATGAAGAACTAATATCCATACTATATAAAGAACTCTTATAAAAACCAGAAAATTGGGCAAATGACTTGAATTGTATATATACATAAGAAGAAATCCAAATGGCCAGATGATGATGCTCAACCTTCCTAATAATGAAAGACATGCAGATAAAAATGAGATGGCTTTTCCTTGCCTTTGAAAAGTAATAAGAAGATAACATCCAGCCCAGCCAGAGTGGCTCAGCTGGTTGAGCATCATCCCTTGAACTGAGTCGTTGTCAGTTTGATTCCTGGCCAGTTCCTGGTGTGTGTGTGGGGAGGAGACGATCGATGTTTATCTTTTTCTGCCTCTCCCTTCCTTTCTCTCTAAAGTCAATAAAAACATACCTAAAAAACAAAAACAAAAACAGAAGAAGTGCTTACAGCTCTTTTTGAATTTGTCTTATAGGTCTTCTGGTTTTTGCCAGAAGGCCCTAAAAAAAGAAAATGGGCAATCTATACTGTTGGTGGGAACATGCAACTGTAAGCTTTTAGGAGTAATTTGGTAGTATGTATCAAAATGTAAACTACTGCCTTATGACTCAGCAGTTCCGATTTCAGGAATCTATCTTCTAGCATAGGTTGCAGAAGGTTATAGATACATTGATACATGGGTACATTGTAATAGTTACAAAGGGGAATGTGATTACCATCCATCTGTAAGGGACTGGTTAAATAAATACGGCATATACAGGGTCAAGAGGATCTATTCTAATACCATCAAGAAAATCACCCTACCCCCCATTTTTTTAGCCATTTGTTTTTTGCCAATTTTATTTCTTGCTTTAACACCTTGGCCCCTGTGCACGTTTTTGTTTGGCCTGGTTGTCTGAACCTTTAGGCATGTGGCTGTTTCCCACTCAGAACACTCAGACTAGCAAGTAGGCCTCTAGCGAGGGCTCTGGTTTAGACCCTGAGGGGGAGCACTGCATGTCTCCTGTCCCTGCTGTCACGGTGGGAGAGGAGACCCCAGTCACCAGGGCTCCCTCACCTTCACTCGGGCAGCCCACAGCTCAGAGCAGTGCTGAGAGGAGACGGCCCCTGGCTGTGAGGCCGCAGGAGCCCAGCGAGACGGTTTGGCCACCTCCCCACCTCTCGGGGTTGTTGTGGGGACAAATGAAGTCATGGTCAGGTGCTGGCACATAAGATGCTGTCTGTGTGAGCTGTCTGCTTGCCATGGCTGCACTTCTGAACAGGGACCTTAAAGGGCTGTCACAGATAGGGTCGGAGGCCTTCCCTCCCTGGTGTTTTGTTCCTCTGGCATAAAAATCAGTTGGGAAACGGACAGACACTATCTCAGCCAGGTGATCAGGGTCGACATCAACAGTGGTAAGTCATGTTGCTAGTATGTACTCTCTCTTTTTTTTTTTTTTTTCCTCACCTGAGGACATTTTTCCATTTTTTGTTCAGGTAGAGTGGGAGGGAGAGAGAGAGAGAGAGAGAGAAACATCGACGTGAAAGGGACACATCGAGTGGCTGCCACCCGCACAACCGACCAGGGCCGGGGACAAACTGCAACCGAGGTACGTGCCCTTAGCGGGAACCGAACCTGGGTCTCTCAGGACCGCAGGCCGACACTCTAACCGCTGAGCCAAACTGGCCAGGGCTGTACTCTCTTTTTTTAATTACTTTTGCCTGGTGGTTTTATTTTAATTTTAATTTTATTTTTCAATTTTTATTAATTTATTTTTGTTACAGATGTTTCTCCTTTTTTCTCCTTAGACACCCTCCTCCCCATCCCGCCCCCTCCCCCCAGCATTGTTGTCTATGTCTATTGGTTATGCATACATGCATATAAGTTCTTTGGTTTATCTCATCCATCCCACTCGCCCCCCTGATCTGAAGTCTGTCAGTCTGAATCATATTCCTTTCTATGTCTCTGAGTCTATTTCTAGTACACTCTTGATGTGATGAAAATGGCCCTTTACCGCTGAGATCTTGCTCCCAATAACTGGTAACCTCAGTCTTATCATGAGAAAAACATCAGATTCTGGTAGTGGGGCATCCTACAAAATACCTGATGAGTACTCCTGAAAACTGTCAAGGTGGTCTAAGCAGTGAAGTCTGAGAAATTACCATAGCCAAGAAGAGCCTAAAGAGACATGGCAACTAAATGTAATGTGGGCCCTGCCCAGCGTGGCTCAGTGGTTAGAGTGTTGGCCCATGCACCAGAGGTCTTGGGTTCAATTCCCAGGCAAGTGCACATACCTGTTTTGCAGGTTCAATCCCCAGCCCTGGTCAGTCAAGGTGCATGCAGGAGGCAACCAATTGATGTGTGTCTCTCACATCGATGTTTTTCTCTCTCTTACTCTCTCTCTCCCTCCCGCTCTATCTGAAGATAAATCCAAAAATGTCCTTGGGTGAGGATAAAAAAAAAAAGAGATTAGCCTGGCAGATGTGGCTCAGTGGTTGAGCGTAGACCCATGCACCAAGAGGTCGCTGGTTCGATTCCTGGTCGGGGCAGATGCCCAGGTTGTGGGCCTGATCCCCAGTGCAAGGCATGCAGGAGGCGGCCAATCAATGTTCTCTCTCATCGATGTTTCTATCGCTCTCTCCCTCCCTCTCCCTTTCTCTCTCTAATATCAATCAAGATAAATAAATAAACAAACAAACAGATAAATATTACCTGGAGAGATCTTTGAGAATCCAGATTCTTTAAAAAAATTTTTTTTAATTGATTTTAGAGAGAGGAGGGGAGAGGGAGAGAGAGATAGAAACATTGATGAGAGAGAACATCAATTGGCTGCCTCCTGCATGCTCCCCACTGGAGATTTGACCCACAACCTGGGCATGTGCCCTGACTAGGAGTCGAACCCACGACCTCTTGGTGCATGGGTCAACGCTCAACCACTGAGCCACACCAGCCCGGTGAGAATCCAGATTCTAACCCAAACTCTTGGATTCTGACTCAGTTGGACTGGACTGGGACTCAGAAACCTAACTGATGGGGATCAGAGAGCTTCTGGCTCAGTGCACATGTCCAGGTGCTGGGAGGGTGGCACAGCTGGAGAGAGCATGGAGGCTCCGCGCCCTCCCCTTACCTCGCCCTGTGAGTCTTCCATTTGCCTGCTCCTGAGCTGCATCCTTTATAATAAAATGGTAAACAAAAGTCTTTCTCTGACATCTGTGAACTGTTTAAGCACATGATCAAACTTAAGGAGGGTATTGTGGGAACTCCTGATTTATTGCCAGTTGGTCAGCAGTACAGGTGACAGCTGGGGACTCGTGATTAGCATCTGAGCCTTAACCTGTGGGATCTATGTCAACTCCAGGCAGTGTAGGATTCCAGTTAAACTGTGGGACACCCACCCGGGTCCACCAAGAACTGTGGAATTGCTTGGTATGGAAAACTCTGCACGTTAGCTGTCAGAAATATTGTGTGCAGAGAGGAAACAGTTTTTCTTTTACTTGGATATGTGTTTAGTATATGTGTGTTGAATGAACCCAAATGGTAAATTTTTGTGACAAAGTGGAACTATACACAGTGACAGATGGCTTCTTTTCCTTAACAACAGAGCGTGGCCATTTCTCCCTGGCCGTCCATCAGGTGTGTCGCTCCTTCCTCCAGACCCTGTGGGGTGGCCCGAGACACAGGGCTCTCTCTGAGGAAGGCCAGCCGCCGCCGGGAGCCAGGACTCTGGGTGGAAGAGCTCAACCCCGCTTTGGTCATGTGTGCATTTCACTGAACCTCCCAGGGTTAAGAGCCAGTGTGTTCAGTGTTTGTTCCTTTGGAGTGGCCCTTCTCCTTGGGCCTGTGCCACTTACCCTGATAACTTCAACAGAAGGTAGAAATAGCTGCTACACTCTTTTTTTTTTTTTTTTGAAAGACTGGACTGATGCCATCACTGTAAATCGTGCCCAGGGCTCAGCCCAGAGCCTGGGCAGGTTTGTGGTCAGCAGGCCAGGTGACCTGAAGGGAAGACAATGACAGTGATATTAATAACAGCAGCTGTTTCCCTGGCTGGTTTGGCTCAGCGGTTGGAGCGTCAGCCTGCGGTACAGAGAGACCCGGGTTCAGTTTCCGCTAAGGGCACGTGCCTCAGTTGCAGTTTGTCCCCTGCTCCAGTTGGGATTGTGTGGGTGGCAGCCACTCAATGTGTTTCTCTCACATTGATGTTTTTCTCTCTCTCTCTCTCCCACTCTATCTGAACAAAAAATGGAAAAATGGGTAAGGATAATAAATAAATAAATTAATTAATAGCAGCAGCTGTCATTTACTGAGGACTTTCGATGTGCCAAGCTCTGTGCTAAGAGCTTTACATTCGACATCTCAGCTGCTCCCATGACCACCTGGTGTGGAACTCCTATGATTCTCCCCGTGTATGGTAAGGAGAACCGCTAGGAGGAGACGTCCTGCCCAGCAGAGAACATCTCCGTCTCCTAGGGCCTGCCCCCTCCATGATTTCCGAGCAGGTAGCTGCTCAGGACATCAGTTTATCCGGCATGCCTTCTGAGGTGAGTTCAGACCTGTCCTCGCCACGTGAGGGTCACCCGAACCTGTGGCTGGGCTGAGCCGTGAGCAGGTAGCTGTTCTGCCTGTGCCCACTCAAGCCCCTTCAGTGCCCAGCGCAGCCACCCCTTCTCGTTCAGACCTCCAGACTTCCGCTACCACCCCTTACACCGCCCGTCCCTCCCCAGAATTCCCAGGGAATTTAATCCCCATTTTACAGATAGGGAAACTGAGGCACTACTAAGGAGGGAATACCGTGCTTGCTTCAGCAGCACATATAATAAAAGAAATTGGAACGATACAGAGAAGATTAGCATGGCCCCTGCGTGAGGATGACATGCAAATTCATGAAGCTTTCCATATTAAAAAAAAAAAAAAAAAAACACAGCCCTGGCAAGTTTGGCTCAGCGGTTGGAGCGTCGGCCTGCGGTACAGAGAGACCCGGGTTCAGTTCCCGCTAAGGGCATGTACCTCGGTTGCAGTTTGTCCCCGGCCCTGGTTGGTCGTGCGGGTGGCGACCACTCGATGTGTCCCTTCACATCGATGTTTCTCTCTCTCTCTCTCCCTCCAGCTCTATCTGAAAAAAAAAAAGGAAAAATGTCCTTGGGTGAGGATAAACAAAACAAAACAAAACACAAAAACGTAGTACTTGCCTGGACCTCACAGCCTGTCAAGGGTAGATCTGAACTGGGTAGTCTGGCTCCAGAGCCCATGCTCTTAATCTCCTTTAACGTGACCTGCCTATCTTGACCTTGGTGGAACCTAAGCCCAGCCCAACTATGTCTTGGTTATGTTCTGAATGAGATTTTCCCATTGAGACCTCGGAGCCAGGGAGATAGGCATAATCAAATCCTATCTCAGAATCGTGGCCTTGTTAGAAAACATATGGAAATATGTATTTCTGCATGTAGATAATTCAGAATAAAATCAAGCAATACTTGGGTTAGTGGGATCCAATCCAAAGGTGAGGAAACTGGGTGGGGCAGAGGGGTTGGCAAATCTCAATTAGAAAAATTAGGTAACTGGACCCAGGCTACATCGGCAGTCACACGGAGACAGGCTAGTAAGCCAGGAAGAGGGAAACTGAGACAGTTAACAGCAGTTTGCAGTCCTCTAGTAAATCCTATCTTCCCTAAACCAAGGACACTTTTCCTGGCTGGTTTGGCTCAGCAGTTAGAGCGTCCACCTGCAGGCCGGGAGGCTGAGGGTTCAACTCCCGGGTCAAGGGCACATACCTGGGTTGCAGGTTTGCTGTCCTGCACCTCCATGTGGGAGGCAATCAATCAATGTGACTCTCTCACATTGATGTTTCTCCCTCCCTCCCTTCCTCCTTTCCACTAAAAAAAAGAAGAGTAAAGGGTTTGCACTTTTCCTCACAGACCAGAAGGTAAATAGCTTAAATCACCCTACTCGGGGAGATATAGGTAACAGAAATTCAGTCAGTGCCATTTGCCAACCAACCACACCTAAGGACAGATAAAGTTAAGAGAATAAATCTCATTTTGGTACATCAACATAAAACCGATGAATATTCTATTGAGATCCTTCCCTAAGACCTCCCCTAAATGCCCAGCCTTTAAAACCTCTCAAGCCCAGCAGGTGTGGCTCAGTGGTTGAGAGTCAACCCACGCACCAAGAGGTCGCTGGTTCAACTCCTGGTCAGGGCACATGCCCAGGTTGTGGGCCTGATCCCCAGTGGGGGGCATGCAGGAGATGGCCAATCAATGTTCTCTCTCATCAATGTTTCTCTCTCTCTCCCTCTCTCTCTAAAATCAATAAAGGAAAAAAAATTTTTTTAATTAAAAAAAAAAACCCTCAAAACAAGGTCCCAGGGTGAGCTGTCCCTCCCGGGAGCAAGCCTTCACTTTCTGTCCCCTACAGGCCCGCATCTCCTAGACTCTAACAGACCCCATGAGGCTTGTAACCAGGACAGCAATGGGTAGCAGCAGTTTGTCTTGGGTAAAACCCCTGAACCTGTCCCCAAGGCCCCCCCTTCTCTGACTTCTTAGCCAAAGCAGCCCAGCCTAGGCTCATTTCCCCAACTACCCCCTTTCCTGTTATCCTAGGCCCTTCCTTGTTTCCCTGTCCCCAGCTTTATTAAACATCCTCTGAAATTCACCTAGACTCGTGTTGTGCAATTCTTCTTGCGGTAAGTCAAGAACCCACACACTACCATCTGGTCCTAGGCAGACCCACCAAGGGCCAGGGCCTCTTTCCAGTAACAACATCACCTCATCTGGAGTCCTTATTGACACAGGTTATAAAAGAGGTCAGAGTGGCCTATCATGATCTCAGGATTGGGGCAGGGCTGGGGTACCCCTGAGTTATGGCCAAAATAGTCAGTCAGTAGGCGGCCTCATTCTGCTGGGAAAACCACTCCAAGTCCCTTGAGATGGTGAGGTGTTTTCCTTAGTAGGTGCTCTGAAGCCTGAAAAGGTTAGAAATGAACAATGATTGTTAAATTGTGCAAATGTGTAAGCAACTTGAGATTTGTAAGTTGAGCTTTAAAATTTAAGTTAAACCCTGGCCGGTTTGGCTCAGTGTTTGGAGTGTCGACCTGCGGACCAGAGAGTCCTGGGTTCAGTTCCCACTAGGGGCACGTACCAAAAAATAAATAAATAAAATAAAATTTCAGTTAAACCATTGGGTTGATTATTTCAAGAAAGACTTTTTAAAGCCAAAGAAAGTGCAAATAATTCTTTCTGTGCACCAAACATGCTCTTAGGAACACCAGCAACTTCATCAGCAAACCCAAAGTTTCCACGTTTGCCCAGGCTAGGGGGCCAGGCGGCAGTGAGGAGGAGGCAGGGGCCCTGACCCCCTCTAAAGGGTTCTAACCAGCATGACTGGCAACATTCCAGGGGAGGGTCCAAACCACATGACCCGAGATATGAAAGGTCAGGGGGTCTAAACCATATGACCAATGATATGTTAGGGGAGGAAAGGTTACCCTGGGTGTGAGGTCCTTGTTTTCCCAGTTGCTAGGCACCCGGGGCTTTCTGCCCTGGTGACCTTCCATTTCTGGCCCGTGGTCCTTGCTCTGCTCATGTCTGTCTAACTGACCACCACACCTGCATCCAGGTCCATAAGGTCTCCTTCCTCCTGTAACTAAGGATAAACTCTTGAGGCTGCTCCCCACGGCCAGCCCTCTATTGTCCATGAGAGCCCACCTGCTTTCCTGACCCAAGGTGACCCACCTGGCAATCCGTATCTTTTGCTTCATCAGTTTCCTCCTTTCTACTCGATTACTTTTATCAGTACACAAACAGGCTGTTAAATTTATCTTAACTGCAAAGGAACAGAAAACAGCATGGCAGGGCCTTTCTCAAAAATTAGACGTAGAATGACCCTATGATCCATCAATTCACAGTAGCCAAAAGGTGGAAGGAATCCGTGTCCACCAATAGATGAATGGATGAGCTAAATGTGGTCTATCCATGTGATGGAGTATTCTTCAAGAATTAAAAAGGAAGGAAATTTTGACAGACACTACAACATGGATAAGCCTTGAAGACATACTCAGTGAAATAAACCAGTCGTAAGAAAACAAATACTGTGTGATACCGTTTATTTGAGGTCCCTAGAGCAGTCAATTCTTCTTTTTTTTTTTATCCTCACCCGAGGACATTTTTTGATATTTTGTTCAGATACAGTGGGAGGGAGAGAGAGGAAGTGAGAGAGAGAGGGAGAAACATCGACGTGAAAGGGACACATCAAGTGGCTGCCACCCGCACAACCAACCAGGGCCGGGGATAAACTGCAACCGAGGTACATGCCCTTAGCGGGAACCGAACCCAGGTCTCTCTGGACCGCAGGCCAATACTCTAACCGCTGAGCCAAACCGGCCAGGGAATCTTGTTCTTTTTTTTAATCCTCACCTGAGGGTATTTTTCTATTTATCTTCACATAGAGTGGAAGAGAGAGAGGGAGAGGGAGAGGGAGCGGGAGGGAGAGAGAGAGAGAGAGAGAGAGATGGATGTGAGAGGGACACATGGACTAGTTGCCTCCTGCACGACCCTGACCAGGGTCAGGGGTGAATTGTAACCAAGGTACATGCCCTTGACCGAACTCGAACCTGAGACTCTTTGGTCTGCCGGTCGACACTCTAACCACTTAGCCACACTGGCCAGACAAATAGTCTAATTCTTTTTTTTTTTATCCTCACCCGAGGACATTTTTCCACTTTTTGTATAGATAGAGTGGGAGGGAGTGAGAGGAAGAGAGAGAGAGAGAAACATCGACGTGAAAGGGACACATCAGGTGGCTGCCACCGTCACGACCAACCAGGGCCGGGGACAAACTGCAACCGAGGTACATGCCCTTAGCGGGAACTGAACCCAGGTCTCTCCGGACTGCAGGTCGACGCTCTAACCGCTGAGCCAAACTGGCCAGGGCTCTTTTTTTTTTTTTTGATCCTCACCTGAGGACATTTTTGCATTTATCTTCAGATAGAGTGGGAGGGAAAGAGGGAGGAAGAGAGAGAGAGAGAAACATCAACGTGAAAGAGACACATCGAATGGCTGCCACCCACACGACCCCAACCAGGGCAGGGACAAATTGCAACCGAGTTACGTGCCCTTAGTGGACTCCCTGGTCCATGGGCCGACGCTCTAACCGCTGAGCCAAGCTGGCCAGGGCTAAACAGTCAAATTCTTATAGAAAGTAGAATGGTGGTTGCCAGGGTGAGGGTCTGGAGAATCATTGTTTTTTTGTGTTTTTTTTTTTTGAGATTCATTGTTTAATGGAGACAGAGTTTCAGCTTTGCCAGATAAATGGTAATGATGGTTGCATAGCAATGTGAATGTCACAGTGGCTAATGCCACTGAACTGTACACTTAAAAATGGTTAAAGCAGCTCTGGTCGGTTTGGCTCAGCAGTTGGAGTGTCGGCCTGCAGTCCAGAGAGACCCGGGTTCGGTTCCCGGGCATGTAACTCGGTTGCAGTTTGCCCCTGGCCTTGGTTGATCAAGCGAGTGGCGGCCACTTGGTGTGTCCCTTTCACATCGATGTTTCTCTCTTTCTTTTCCTCGTTCTCCCTCCCACTCTATCTGAACAAAAAATGGAGAAATGTCTTCAGGTGGGGATAAAAAAAAAAAATACTGGTGCCTGAGGACACCTAGGGGAAAAAATAAAAAGGTTAAAGCAGCCCGGCCACTGCGACTCAGTGGTTGAGCATCGACCAATGCACCAAGAGGTTGCCGGTTCGGTTTCTGGTCAGGGCACAGGCCCAGGTTGTGGGCCCAATCCCCAGTGGGGGGCATGCAGGAGGCAGCCAATCTATGTTCTCTCTCATCGATGTTTCTACCCCTCTCTCCTTCTCCCTTCCTCTCTCTCTCAAATCAATAATAATAAAAAAAATGGTTAAAGC